GCAGCTAATTGGTTTTATTATTTCCATGCACGACTCAAATTGCAACACTTACTTTTTGAAATTATCAGCCTGAGTTTCATAGTTTTGTCAAAGTTTAATTTAACAAAAACTATTTGAGACCAATTAAAGGGCAGTCGGAACATTTAGGGTTTTGCCTTGACACGAGCATTTTTGTTCTTTTGCACTCTTACACGCCCCAGCTTGATCACTATAGCTTACGCTTTCAACTTTATGCAATTGCCTTAAGCGAAACAGATGTTGAAAGATCAAATAAAAAACTAACTGCCATGGGACTACTCAATTCAACCTCATTTGAACTATTGTTACCAAAAAGGCTCATTGCATTGACTTTTCCGTGATCCCACAACTGATGTGAATGGAGAAGCAGGTTTGAAAGGTCAAGAAAAGAGCTAAATGTCACTACTTCGTTTGGACACCTCATTCCAATTAAACAAACCGAAGGACTAATTGACACTTTCCGTAATAAACCCACGCCTGCTTTTTTATGTTAGATACAGAAGACGTGCACTGAGCAAAATAGTCCAAGGGCAGAAAAATTGAAAAATAATGAATTTTACGAGCTAATCGATAAAAAGAAATTGTAATTGAAAGTATTTCAAATGCAATTATTTAATTGTACATAAATTGAGATGAACTTACTCAATTCATGTATTTTTTTTTTCATTTTATTTGTATCATTGAAGACACTAATACTTGATTTAATTTTCTGTTTCTCTGCAATCAAATCTTTTTAACTTTTAGACCAACTTGCTCATTGACAGGCCACCGTTTGAGAAGTTTTTAGTTCTTAACTAGTGTTGTTGTTACTGCGTTAAATGAAGCACAGAACACTGATAAATAACAAAGCAAAGCCCTGAAATTTCCGACTATCTTTTAATGTCGTAAAAAAATTGCGATCTAAAAGTTGTTGAAAAACTTGTTGAAAACACTTGCTCAAATTTGTTTTGAGGTTTTATCCATCTTACGCCATGTTAAATACAAAAACATATGCTGCGTCGGTAACGTTTTATTAAGAACGCGCAACTTCAATCAAATCAAATTGAAATTATTTTGTTTGCCGCGTATGCTTCAATAGGAAGAAATATATCGCGCGTTATTTATGCCAATTCGAATTATAGTTTTCAGAGTACTCCCAACTTAAAAACTGCATAACGTACAAAAAATGTTTGCTCTTTAGAGCCTCGAGCTTGACACCGATACTGTTCAGATGATTAAAAAAATGTTTGTTAAAATGACATATTGTTCCGACTTTTGAAGACAACGGAACCTATATACTTCTTGTGGTTTTTTTTCCAGTCAATTTTCGGCGATCGGCGTACTGGTTTCGAACAAAAAAAACTATACTACGTCGAAGATATCGACTGCTTGAATCAATATGTAAGAAGATATTTTTACCTCCGATCATTCACTTTCAAATTTCTGAGAGTTTCAAAATAGTCAATATGGCCATGCTCTGGACTTAATAATGCGCGCTTTGAAGATTTTATTCACAATGCTGAAAAAATTACGCATTTATTTATACATGGTGAATTATAAAACACAAGAAAATTGTTCCAATTTAGTAATCGGTTGTATTAATTTTGTACGACTTGTATTTTTACACTTGATCTTCGATGTTGTTGAACATTTATAGTATCCAATACTCTTTTTTACAAAAACTAAAAACTATTTGATACCACTTACAGGGCAGTCGGAACATTCAGAGCATTGCCTTGATACGCGAACAGTCTTGTTAAGAATTTCCATTTGCCAAGAGAAAATAAATCACCTCCAGCGCAAAATTCAACTCATTTTGTTTTAGACCACTTGACTTTGACAGGCCACAGTTTTTGACGGAACATAGTGACAAGTTTGAGCTCCGTTAGAATCGGTTCAGAAAGTTTTTTTTGAAGACATTGCATGCATCAAAACAATATGAGAGAATAATAATTTAACCGTGCAACCTCACCCCTTAGTTAAGCCACTCTTTACTGAAACTTTCGAAAGTTCCCAAACAGGTGAAGTTTTTTTGCCAACACACATCAAGGAAATAGAAAAAAATTACATGGTGCTAGAATATAGTTTTAGCTATCTTAAGAAAACATTAGCGATTTGCTTACAAGTTGCCGGTAAAGAAATTTTGTTTTTCAATGAGCGGTAGCTGTTTCGGAATCTATGTTTAATTATATAAATTTTCGAAGAAAATCATGAATATTTGTTCAGATCTTTTAAAAAATAGGTTTTTTTTTGCTATCTGAGAGATATTGTTATTCAGAACTGATATGTAGAACGACAGTTTGACTTTTTATTATTGTTAAGACTTTCGATACGAAAGTAACGGAATAATCGTGCACGTGGTGGGTTTTTTTTTCTTCAGACAAATTTCGACTTTTTGACTACCCATTTTTGACGGAATTTTTTTATCATTCGAAAAATATTGTTGTCTTGGGATCAAATTTGAAAAGATATTTCACCTATGGTCATTTTTTGTAAAGTTACGGTGATTTATATATTGCCATTTTGGCCAATTTGGGACAATTAACGCGCGATATATTTCGCGCTGTTAACGCGTAAGCGGAGAGTTAATGCCTCTTAGAAGTCGTTCCAAATTGGTTGAAAGAAGCTTATTTGCCCTAATTGATCTGTTAGAAGGAGCTAAATCTATCCTTTTGTACTTTATACGTCGTGTGGGGGGATGATTTTCATCAAAAATTTCAAATTTTAGAAAAAAAATTTTTCGTTTTTTTTTCACATTTAATTTTTCAATGTTATTACTGCTCCACCTTAAAAGGCAGTCGGAACATTCAGGGCTTCGCCCTGATTCGAGCAGTCTTGTTCTTTTTGATACTGAAGGCAGCTTTGGTAATAGGATATTTGTAAAACTGGGATGAATAACGCGTGATAATAGAGTTTTTTATTGAATAATTGGCAAGTTAATCTGCAACCTGTGAACTTTAGGTAATTGACTTGAAGTTTAGCATCGCTGGCACTCACATAACCAAGCATTACACGCGTCCCTACACAAATGTAACTAATTGTACGTTAATTGTGTTAAGAACTTAAGCTTTTCTGCCTTAATTTTTATGAATTTATTTTTCGACTGAAACCACGCTAACATAATAGTATCACTCGAATTTACAAAAACAAACATTTTTGCTGTATCGAACCAAACCATCACACTTCGTAACCTAGTCCTCTGTCTCGTTTTAATCCAAATATCCAAATCTAAATATCTTTTGACATTGAAGAGTTTTTAGGCACTGAGTTATCTCTTAAGAAGCGTTTTTTCCCGGATAAGACACTTTCACCATATTTATCTGATTCAGTTCAGCAACTTACACGAACTTATAGTCATCGCTGCGTCAGACGCTGATAAGTCACCACTGATCCACGTTAAAATCCTGATAATCTTATAATTTGGGATGATTAACGCTGCGACGTCAACTCTGGATGCCAGTTCAATAATCGAAAAAAAGTTTTGACTTTAAATTTGAAATGAAATGATTTCAAAAAGTCAGAAAAAAATATCGCTTTTGGTGTTTAAAACTGCAATATAATGACAATGTCGGCAACCATTGGTTGGCAAAACTACAATTGTTGATTAATTTTCCAAAAATTGACTCTTTGCTACGCAATTGTTCTGGCAACTACTGATTCTTATGGTGCCAAAATTGCAGAATTTACATGAAAATAATTTGAAAGATGTTTACATACGATCATAGTTATTATGAAATAACAATTTTTGGAACATTACATCATCAAAACCTTGTATGTAACACTTTCTAAAAAAACGTGCATCATTTTTAATCCAAATTTCACGTATGTTCACTATTGGAGCTTCTCTATATTTTCATCAAAATTGGGCGCAAAATTTAATCGTTTTTGCATAATCAGAAACACTCAGTTGATATATTTAAATTCAACAGAATATTTTGCTATGTGTTCACTTGTTTGCAAATGAAAAATGCCACAATTTTATAACAAAAAATTCAACCGCTCCAACAAAATAATCAGCATGCTGAGATATTATGCAAATTTTATCTAATTGCATCAACCATAAGTGGCGTTTAAATCTCTTGAACCATAAGCGTGATCAAAGTGGTGTATGGTTTACTGCTTAAGACGGCGGATTTAAAAGGGCTCTTCTGACTACAATTCAGAGAAATTGGGTCTGCTTCAGTCACCGCTTGACAAATTTGATTACCATTTAGTACAGTGTACTTGGCGTGTAAACTTGAGACAGCAAATAGTAGAAAACGGACCCGCGCAAATTATGAATGATATGGGCAGCTGACTAAAATTTGAATGAAGATTACGGGACTTGCAATGCATGCAAACCAGTTCAATGCCTACAAATTTTATTCCCAGTCATGTATTGGAGTCCTTGTTCGAAGACGGTCACCTCGCTTATGCATGAGATGGTGGCGTCGCTGCTGAGAACGTGCGAAGTTAAGAGTGAGAGGTTTTGAGTGGAGGGGCCGGAGATTGGGGGACACTAAACCATTAAATAGTTGTACCCTGACACCGCGCCATTGAAGAAGTACGGCAAAAGTTCCGAAAACGATATTTTGAGCGCGACCTCTTCAAATTTATTGTTTTGACAGAACAAGTTTTTTTTTACCTCATCAGTGCAGAGGAGTTAGAATCATTTGCAAACTTGGACCAAGTTAACATCCTCCCCCCTAAACACGTTTAGGGGGGAGGATGTTAACTTGGTTCTAAGTATTGGAATTTTCAGCCAATCAGAATCGAGCATTTTACATGCAGCGCTTAGCAAATTAAATTTAGTTTAAGCGCTGGGGTGGAGGATGTTAGCTTGATCCGCAAACTTTATGAAAGCATTGCTCCCCTATAACCGCCACTGCTCAGAACTTAAGGCATTAACCAGAAAAAAAATTCAAAAAATAGTTAAGTATAGAAAATCTAATTAAATTGCCGTATTATAAACGCTTTTCAAATAAAAAATGACTGCCTGTTTTGTTATCTAATGTAGAAAAGTTCTATATTTCAAGCTCATTCAAGTTCGGACAACTGCTATTTCGTCGAACCACCTGATATTTTGAAGGGAAAATGTTCAAAGCAGCAGCTGGTTTGCCATTCTTGTGACCCGCTGGAATATGATCAACTGTGGAGGTTCGTTTCAGGATCTTCGGTCGGGTTGCGATGACACCAAAAGTGTTCACACCTTTTTCACATCCAATGTCAAATGCAATTTGTTTAACCACTTCTTGCTTGTGCTTTCGCAAGCTTCCACGTCGCATTAACCTGTAAAATGCAAGTCAGTTGATATAATTTCCATATATTTCATAAGAAAATCCCCAATAAGTTCGCCGCCTTTATGTTCAAGCAATGAACTGAAAGCAGCAGCAAACTTAGGGTAGGGGTGTTTTAACTTTTAGGGATAGAATTGGGGTTAAGTGAAGTGAAAGTTTTTACGGATTTAAGCGTTGCAAAGAAGAAAATGTGTATAAATTGGTGCGACTATAGTCAAATGCAGCTCTTCAATACACCCCCCCCCCCCAACAAAAAACCTCCCCATCAGATATGGAAAATAACTTTCAGATTCACTAACGTGATAGAATGTGATGAAAAAATGTGTCTGTAATTGAGTAATAATAGGGGAGGGGGGAAATAGTTAATAAGGTTTAAAATTCGTTTATGCTTAACTGTTCAATTCTTTCTTAATAGAGGGGATATTCGTTACAAGGTACCATAGGGGATGGATGGGGGAATAGTTAATAAGATCCTACGTTTCTGCAGCGGATTGTTTGTTGGACTATTCACCTGTAGAAATGTTTGCGTATTGGCTTCTGACTGTAAAAGTAGACGAAAGGGTTGATTGAGTTGTTCAGCGTGGCCAGTGCCCCACTGATCACTTGGATGTGCATAAGCAGTCGGATGTCGGAACTTCCGAGCAGTCTGGCGAACAGGACTGAGACTGGTAGCGTGTATGTGATGAAAGTGGTGCCCACTATTACGGCGTAGCACTTGATCAGTTTGAGATCGTACCTGCAGTCACATAAATTGAATTAACTATATGTGAAAATTCTATAAAACGTATTCACTGTCTCTCAAACTAACTTAAATTATTAAATTAGTTTAGCTTTTTGTTCAAAAGATTGACAGAAAACAGTTTTGGTAGGTGATAGAAAAAAAACTTGATTAATTAGGAGAGCGGTGGTGAAGTGGTTATGTCTCCGCCTCTCAATCGAAAGGTCGGATGTTCTAAGCCCACCATGATCCGTGATCGTTGCTTAAGGGTGAAGCAACATTACCCGGCCCAGAAAAATAACCAAAAAAATTGCATGTAGTTCTTAAACAGGTGCACAACAGCGGTTCGCCGTGACGAGCTGTACAGCTCTTCCGTTGGTCCTTTCCCCCGTGGTTAAATAGTCTTAATCTTAAAAACTTGATAAATAATTTTAAAAATAACAAAACTGTTCGTATCAGAGCCAAGCCCTGATTGTTCCAACTGCCTTTTAATAACAAGAACAAATTAAACGTAATAGAAAAATATATTTTTTTTCAATTTGAGTTTTTTTGTGAAAATCATCCTCCCACACGCCATATAAAATTCCTCCCACATGCCATATAAAGTTCAAAGTGATAATTTTCGCGCCTAGTAGCAAATCAATTATGGCAAACAAGTTTCGTTCAACCAACTTGGAACGATTTCTAAAACGGATAAAATCTCAGATTACGCTTTAATAGCGCGAAAAATATCGCGCGTTAATTGTCCCTAATTGGCCAAATTGGCAACCTGTAAGCCCCATAACTTTACGAAGAGTATTCACAGGTGAATTATCCTTTCAAATTTAGGCTCAGAACAACAATACCTTTTAAATGATATTACAAAACTCCGTGGAAAATGACTAGTTAAAAAGTCTAAATTTGTCTGAAGAAAAAAACCACCCTGAGCACAAATATTTTGTTACTTTCGCTACGAAAGTTGGAACAATAAAAAAATAAGACTCGTTTATTGCTCGTTTATCATTAAGAGGCCAAACAGTGTGTTTTGTGAATTTTAAGTGGATTCTGCATAAGGCTTAAAACAGAATTGATGATTATTCCGCAACATTGCTATTTTTCTTTGATCTTCTTTGCTGTGTTATATTCCACAAACAAATAATTAAAACTTTGTATTGCTCAAAATTGCACTGAAATCACGCAGATTCTTCAATAAAATTTGTGGAATCCGCAACAAAGTTTGCGGAATCAAAAACAGTTTATGGAATCCACAAAAAATAATAAGGTGTGTTTAGTAAATTTAAGCTGTAAAGGGAAACCCCATATTATAAGCAAAATCCGCATAAATTTGCAGAATCCACTTACATTGTGGAATCCGCTTACATTTGCGGAATCCGGAACAACTAGCTATAGTCGTTCGTTGTGCAATCCGCTACAAAACTAATGTGCCGACAAAACTTTTGTTACAAATACTTGTGCGTGAAACCACGGTACGTTTGTAAATATAATTCACATTCAACTTTTACGTTTTAGACTATTTTTAAAAACTTCTATCTGGATTTCTGTGACCTAGAGACACTAAACCGTGCGTTTATCCAGTACACAGTTTGCATTTTGTGATGTGTCAGGTGCGCTAGATTCTCGGAATTTGCAAGTTTTCCAGCGCAGCACAAGAACTTGATACAAATAAGTTTCCAAAACGGAATTTAATTGAAGAAACTGAAGTTAAATGGTCAAGGTTTCGATGTTAAGCGAAGAAAAATTTTCTTGATACAGTGTTAGACTTCAATATTTTGCTCAGTGATTGATAAAACTCTGCGTTCAATTGCACTCTTAGCTTCATTTGCTATTTTAAAAAGCATTTTGTCTCACTTTGCTCACTTTGACTACAAGTTTTTTTTCAAAATTTGCCCAGAAATTGAATAGTTTTATTCACGCAAACTTTTGCCGCTTATCGAGTTTTCACTGCATTTTGCTTGGCGTTAAGCAAAGTTTTATAGTGCTGACTTCAAAATTGGATTAAGAAAATGAAACTGAATCTTTGAACTCGTTTCTCTCCAACTCAGTCAGTTTTGAGCAAAAATCTGAGGACAATCACCATCATTTTTATAGTGCTAAAATTACAAACTAGAATGACACCACCTGAAACTTGAAAACTCATTTGATTCAAAATTTAGGAAAGAAGCAGGGTCAAATTTTGCAAGATTAATTTCAATTGACTAGTTTACTGGCTTTTTTTTGCACCACATGAGTTGGCCCGTTTTAGAAGATGTAGTTTTGATTTGAACATTTGCGAAAAAAAATTGACATTGTTTATTGTTCAAAACTAGTTTTTCCATATGAGTTGCTCGTTTTAGGGGGTTTAGTTTTATGTTGAAAATTTGCACAAATTATTGTCATTGTCACAAGCCGAATTTGAGACAAAATAGTTTGGAACTTTTATATCAGTTCGTTTTGTACGATTTTAAAAAATCAGTATGATAGAAGTTTGTTAAGCACAAAATGCGTTGAAAACTCGATAAACAGCGCAAACATGCGTAAACAAAAAACTATCCAATTTTTCGAAATTTACTATCATAAGTCACTCAGTCATTAACTAAACAAAGTGGCAGCTGGTGGCTGTGTATTTATCAGAGAACTTTCTAAACACGATGAAAAAGGCATGGAATTTTGTTTTAATATTTTTTCCAAATTGAGTTGTTCACCCGGCGAAAAATAATGAACTTAATAAATCAGAGTTGAGAAAACTTTAGCCAATATATGGTTCTGATATTTTTGAAAACCGTTGATAGGTCAGTTTTTGTTGAATGATATGTTTTTGGAAAATGTTTTATAACTCCTTCAGAAAATGTCAAAAAACCAGTTACTCAAACCAGAGAAATTTTTAGCAACTAAAGCACGACTGAAAAAGAGTTATAACATTTTTTCTTTTTTTCATTGAAACTGTAAGAACTAAAGTTGATTTGAATTATCAGAATACCGTCTATGACTTTTCGTATGTTCCCGCATTATTCCAAAAACCTTATTGCGTAAGAAATCTAAGTTTGCGATTAATCTATTTGACTTAATATGTTAACATAAATAGCAGCTGTAATGATAAGCGGGTATCGTATATTAGAATAAATTTAAACTTTATTCAGTTTTTGTGTTTTTGTGAGCTTGCTATTTTGTCAAACTTAAAAGTTCTGTGTCTTATGTTTTTGTTGCGCTTCAGTCATTTTTAATCAATTTTCAAATTTTATTGTTCTGACTTTTGAAGAAAGTGACGGAACATTTGTGCTCGGGCGAGATTTTTCTCCAGTTTTTTATATCACCAGAAAGACTTTGTAATCTTGAGCTCATTCGCAAAAAAATATGTTTTTACCCTATGATTGTTTTTTGTAATTTTAAGAAAATTTCAAAATTTCCAATTGATCAATTAGGGACAATAATCGCGCAAAATATTTCGTGCTATTAACACGTGTGTGGAATTTTAATCAGTCTTAGAAACCGTTCCATTTGGTTGAGCCAAACTAGTGCTCATAATTGCTACAATAAAAAGGAGCAAAATGTAGCACGCTGTGCTTTATTTGGAGTTTTAAGGGATAATTTTTGTAAAAAAAATTGCTAAAAAAATCCATAGATCTTAAAAAGTAATCAGAGAACACATGTCTTTGTCTTGTTACGAGACGTCTTGCTAATTTTTTTGTGATGCTCTAAGATTAAAAGCTCAAAAATTCAAACTTTGACAGCTGATACAATGCCTGTGATTCAATTATTCAACGGTTTACCCAGAGGCATTATAAAACCACTCTCAATTTACTGATTCAGATTTGATTACTTCTAACTTTATTTTTTTTTATTTGCTCAAAAAATCAAAGTTCAAAAATCCAAAGTTTAAACTAATTAAATCGGAATAAGTTCAAAGGAGATTTTAAAAGTCTCTGAGTAAACAGTTGAATAATTGCATCGCAACTATTTTTGCTTTCAAGTTTTAAACGCTTTTTAAACTATGGGTGCGCTCCCTTCCAATGTTATTTTTTGACAAAGTGTTATTAGACAAGAAAAAAAGCAATTAGCGTTGATAAGAATAATCCATCGAATCAATTACTTTCAAATTACTTACAAAAAACGGTAAATATAACTGCTGTCAACTTTTGCTTCTAGATTTTTTAAAAATGAAATTGAAAATTCCGACAGTTTCAGCATGTTGGAATTTCGATTTTGATTGCTATCAATTTACACCATATTGGCCTCAGCGGAATACATATACACTTGAAAAAAAAATGAATTGAAAAAAAAATTCTAGCAGGTAATGTCGTCAGGAAATGGAGTCATATATCAACCAACCGAAAACAGAGCTTTCATAAAATTCAGTCAAAAACTGATGTGTAAAAAGTATGTTACAGTTATTAAAGTCATGTTAATTCCAATCATTTGACGTAATTTTTGAGTTTTATACACTGCGCAATTCAGTTAATTTGTTCTTCGGTTGGTCTATTTACACTCAGAAGATGGTAAACTAGCACAATTATCATAAATAATGTGATTTGCACAAATACTAATGATGTATTACTAGCTGGTTTGCCTAGCAGTGCAATTTATTTAAAAAGTTTCAGATCAAAGGCAAAGGAGATGCAATTTGTAATTTTTTTCAGATCAGAGGTAAAGGAGATGATGTGAACTGAAAACGTACGGCTATACTTCATTTCAACAAAAAATTGCTCGACGTTGTTATGTAAAATTAGCGAAGTGTAAATCAGCTCACCATTTAAAAAACAGCCAAAAATTTTTATCAGGTGCGAATTTAGGGGGAGGCGGACGCCCCTTTTTATGACTTTGACCCTAACAAATAACAAAGTGTCCCCTCTTTGGACACTTCACTTTTGCACAACCGGTTTTTTATTCTTTATGAAAATTCAGGAATGAAAATTTCAGGGGTGAAAAGGCCCTGTACTCTAGACTGAGCCCTGGAAGTCAACTTCAAACTTGGAGTATTTGGGAGAAGCCCGCTCTTACATATTTGAAGTTTAACAAGTTTGAAGTTAACTTCCAGGGTTCAG